TTATGGTAATAAAATGGAAATTTTCCTTAAATTTAAGTTATTAGTTGTTCTTGAGATTCTAATAGAAGCTCACGACTGCTTGAATCTTGAATTGATTTGAAATAACTGGTCCATTTCTTAGCTATTCCATTTGTAGCTAGTCCTCTCTCTTGATCAACTACACTCATTTGAGCATCTGTCATTTACATTGCAATTCATTTACTTTCAATTGCCATGTATTTTCTATAGTTATTTACATTCACTGTTCATTCTTTATTTAACTGCACAACCTCTAAATACATAGAACTTGCTTATTTCATTTTCTCATTTACTTTCAACTATTATTTATTTCGAGTAGTTATATACTTATTATGGTTATTTATTTATGGTTAATTGCTAACCTTTGCACCTTAATCTATCATATTGTTTGATTGTCTTGAACCTGCATATTTATATTTAATAGTAAAGTTAATCATTGAGAATACATTCTTGATTAACTACTACTGAATCTATTGACTAAGGGGGCGTTTGATTGCACTCTTTAGACGTCTAAATTTGAAAATGYTGCTTTTCAAATCCTCATACTCGTTTTGGTTTCTTCTCTTAAACTTGATTTGAAATTTGTTTTCGTATCTGAAAACTTTAGACCTTGGGTCGGCTCTTAGTGTGCTCAAATGCATTTCAGAGCCGGTGCATAGTCAAAACTACCCTTGCAAAATTTTAGAAATGATGCGCACTACCCCTCATTAACCCCAAACCAAAAAACCTAGTCATTTTCGTGTTTTCTCCTCTCTCTCTCTCTCTCCCTTGTCTTCCCACTTCCCGTCACCGCCATTGCAAGTGATTCTCTCTCTCTCTCTCTCTCTCTTCCTGCTTCCCATCACCGCCGCTGCAGCGGCAGTTCTCTCTCTCCCGCTCACTTTCTCTCTCTCTCTCTCTCCCTGTCTTCCCGCTTACCACCACCGCTGCCGGCGGTTCTCTCTCTCTCTCTCTCTCCCATGTCTTCCCGCTTCCCACCACCGCCATTGCAACTAGCAGCGACTCTCTCTCTCTTTCTCTCTCTCTCTATATCTATCTATCTATCTATCTCTCTCCCTGTCTTCCCGATCATTCTTTCTTCACGAAGTGAGACATAAATTTTAATATTAAATAAATAATTAATTTTATTAATTATTTTAATTTTATTAAATTTTAATCATATTAATGTTTTTAGTAGTGATTAATAAGTTTTATTATTTTTATTGTGTTATTTATAATACCTAATTATTTTTAGTAATTATTATCAATTATTATTTATTTTACTATTTTTATTCGTGTTATTTCAGTATTAATAATAATTAAATAATTAAATATTTATTAATATTTTAATTTGATTAAATTTTAATCATATTAATAATTTTTTATTAGTGATTAATTATTTTTATTATTTTTTATTGTGTTATTTATAATTATTAATTACTTTTAGTAATTATTATTTATTTTATTATTTTTGTTTGTGTTATTTCAATATTATTAACAATTAAATAATTATTTATTAATTAAATTTTATTGATTATTTTAATTTTTATTAATTTTAACTTTTTAATATTTTTAGTGATTAATTATTTTTATTAATTTTTTGTATAATTTTGATATTATTTTGAATTTGATAAATTATTTTATATGAAATAGTGCTAACTGCATTCATAATTACAAAATAGCCTATTCTAGGGGTAAAATAGCAAAACAAAGCAATTTTAGATGTTGCACAATTGATCCAACACAAGCAACATTATCTATTTAGATCCTCTAAAAAGTAGAAAAGCACTTATGCCTCTTTTCAGGTTTCAGACACTTTTAATATCTTTTTAACTTTTCATATCTGAAATTTTAGATTTATCAAACGCCACCTGTCTTATTTCGTTGCATCTTGTTTGAAACTAACAAGAAGGCTTAACTTCATTTTGGGAAAAAGGCTTTTTAGCTCAACTCTTTTAAGAATTCAAGTTTTTAAAACTAGACCCAATTGGCCAATTCACCCCTCTCTTGGGTTCTTGGGTAAGACCCTCAGTCCTAACAGTCCCAAGAGAAGAACATATATGCATGCTGCTAAGTGGATTGTGCATTACATTAGGGATATTTTTTTCATCCTCATCTGATTTGATTCTTTGAGACCATTGTGGCTTTGACTAGGCTATATTGTCCTCTTGCATGATCTCCACATAACTGTTATGTTACTATTCTAGACTCCTCTCTCCATTCATAGAAAACAAAGAAGCAACACACTTGTTTCTCGATCTTTTTCCGAGGCAAAGTATTGTGTGATGGCAATGGTTATGTTACTATTGTTAATTAGGTCCAGCTCTTTTTCGATAGTCAAGCAGCCACTCACATCGCCATCAATATTGTCTTTTACAAGAGGAGCAAACCCATTGATCTAGATTGTCATTTTGTAAGAGAGCATGTCCAAAGCAAAGTTATTCAATAATGTCATATCTCTACCAAGTCTCAGCTTACTGACATCTTAACCAAACCCTTGGGGGCTGACCAGTTTCATTTTCTTCTAGGGCGTCACGCAAGCTCCAACATGGGGGGCAGGGGTATCATGGAGCTAATGTGGCAGCTCAATATATATGTATGTATGTATATATGTATGTATATATGTATGTATCAAATAATGAAATTTGCCATTGATTTCTTTTCTCACTGGACCATGTATGTTATAGATTATGAACTAGATATCCATTGCTCTCAAACTTTTGATATAAAAAGTAAATCATCACAATTCAGACTTTGAATGGGAATTTGTTGAAAATTTCTCTAGCATGCACAAATATATCTCCATAATCTCGCAACTCTGTCATGGTCATTAAAAGTCTTTTCCTGATCTTTCTTGTAAAAGCATCAGACAAGGAGAATGTTATGATAAAAACCAAAAGAAACAAAGAAAAGAGTTCATGCAGAGAACATACAAAGTTAGAGGTGGTAATTCGTTTGGCGTTTTGTACTTGTGTCCATGGAAGATCCCCATGCATGAAATTCACTTTCTCAATCAACTGAATACAACCCTGGTGAATAGACCAACTTTTATATCATTGAATTAAGTCCTCAAGGATTCTTGATTTGTGTAAGGTAAACTATATATCGAAAATACCCCTATGTGGACTATGTATTAGGGTGCAATAGTATATGCTTCAAAGGAAATCTAGAGAATGTTCTCCCATCTTTAATAATCTTACCAGAATTAAGCTTGAGCTTGATAAAAGCTTACCTGATTTAAGGGCCCATTTGGTGTGTCTTTTTTAAAAGATCTTCTAGTAGTTCTGATAGTCAAAAGACAAATTGAGCTTTTGCATAAAGATCTGAGTAGTTCGAAGTACGTTTGACAGATGTACGTTTTTCTGTGCGTTTTTTTACGTCTTTCCATATGAGAATAAAATGCGAAAGATACGAGAAGGTTCATTTGGAGCTTCCTGAAATCAGCCAAAATGGGCTTTGCGGTGTTCCGTCTTTTGACAGCTAGATCTTCTGCACGCCAAACAGAAATAGACCAAAAATTGATCTTCTTATTTTATAAAGAACCAAAAAACCGCATGGAAAGACACATGAAACGCAGCCTAAGCTTGTTCATTCTTGAGCTAGCTGATCGGCTTATGCTGGATGGCAAGGCAACTGTGCTCTCTCTATCCTATACTATTCCAATTTTTCTACAGTTGTTGATCTCCTATATATGCTACTGATGAAGGATTTGTTTTTTCCATTGTTAATAAAATCTTGTTTGGGGAGAGGATAAGTTTCTTTTATAATGAGGTCTGATACTTGGAACCGTCCATGTGAACGTTAAAGCTTCTTTTATGAGCAGATCTGCTAATGGGGCTGCCCATGCATGTGGAAGGCTGGTAGCCTGGACGACCGCTCCTCGTGGCCTGTATGCATCACGTTGAGGGCTAAAAGTATAGCTTAGCAGACCCCCCTGTAGGCACATTTTGGGTCGATTTAGGGACTGGTTTCCGGGTCGAACAGTCCGAAAAATAGTCAAAATTGTTATCTGGGTTGATGATTCAATGATTTGACCACCTGGGTCAGCGGTTCACTAGCCAAATCAATATTTTTTTGATTAAAAAACAGTCTTTAGATAAAATGGAACTGATCAGATGATCAATTCCTAGTTTTCCAGCCCGACCATCTGTTCCTGTCCGATTTTGAAAACACTGTTATAGTGCTTCCATCTGATTATTTGTCATGTCAACCAAACAAAAACATATATAATTGACTTGTCAAGTGTTAATATTTATATACTCAGAGGCTCCAGACACATAATTTGGTTGGCCCCAGCAAAGACATGGCCTAGACCAAAAAACAGTAAGAAGGGTTATTTCCCAAAGCGACGTTTTGTTTGGCAGAAGACAAGAGGGAGAATATTCTTAAACACAGCCTAAATTTTTCTTGAGAGCTTTGAATTTATGTGAAGAGAAAAGAAATCTAGAAGTATGAAATCCTACTTAGAGCTGATGAGTTTTCGTAAATTAATCCATGGACCCACTCAGTTTATGGGTTTAATAATCCCATGACAAAGCCTCCTCCTCCACATAATTTAGTATGCAACTAAATTAATATTTAATTATTGATTTATCTTTTGTGTTCTGTTCTGCCTTTAGGATTCCACGGAAACACAGGTGGACTGTAGATTTTATCCCCAGTTGGTGAATGGCTGAATGGTGAGTCGGTGACTTAAAATTTCTCAGAGAGAGAGAGAGAGGTTGATAAATTGATATCATGATATGGCTCTATCTATCAAGTTCCAATGTCAACAGTTGACATGTATGTATGAGTATGATGGTGAAGCAGTATTATCCATGATGGATCACTTTCGAAAGCTAAAGAGGGGTAATACAGTCATTTCGATCTTGGAATTAAAGATATCAGTGACAGTTAAGAGGAAGGAAAGCGAGAGTAGGAGAAGAGCAAGGAGCACTAGAAGTTAAAATAGACCTTGTCACAGTCTTAAGAAAGTAGCTGCACTACTACAATACTGCATCATTGAAGAGAAACGGGTCTGGCTTTTTCCCGACAGTTCTCGTCTTCAGGCCCACATTTGAGGTAGCTGAGTTCATCCTTCAAAAGAAGATAGAAAAAGTAAGGAAAATTAAGCAGCGAATAGGAAACCCACCTCGATTATTATCCAATGATGATTACTTCTGCAGGCTTTGGGTGTTTCTCCAGATCACAGAGTTGAGGAATTCCCAGTTGGGAATTGGAGTGGTTCCGGGAGTTGGGTCTGTTACAATCCATTTCTGGTGCAGTTTCTTCAGGTACAATCATGGGATTTCTCTGGATTTAACGTTGTTCTTTCTGGGTTTTGTGTTGGGCATGAATCTGTGGATCTAGGAATTCAGCTGCTTGATGCCATTCTTCTGGTTTGATTCACTAATCTTGTATGCTTCGTTTAAGTGGGTAAAAGAGTTCCTCGGATTTGATGCACAAACTTCGGGCTACAAAATTTAATTTCGATGGCTCTGTTTCTTTCTTTTATCTATTTATTTTGTTTCTAGATCTGATTCTGGTCTTCTAATTGCATTAGATTTTCTGTCTTAATTTCGATGGCTCTGTGAATTTGGTCTAGTTATTGTGAATATGAGTCATCGGGTTCTGATTGTTTTGTTATCTTTTAAAATTGATATGTTTGAACGGTTTCAGAGAGGGTTTGCTAGATACCATTATATCTGCCCATCTTTCACGTTCTCTCTGTAATGGTATGATGTGATGTGATGTGATGGTTCTTCAATGGCAAAGAAGAGGTGCTGCTTTAATCTGGTGAGAAGACTCTTTATTTCAGAATCCAAGACTGAACCAGAGAAGGTACATGTATTTTGGGTTTCATTGATTGTGCAAATTCAATTTCAACCAAAGAAATTTATTTGACTGTTAATGCTTGTAACCATTCTCAGGAGGAGAAGAGGTGGAGATGGTGCTTTGGAAAGTTTAAGGTGAAGCGCCTTCATGTACTTGAAGAAGCATCAACATCAAAGGAGAAGACACCAAGTGAGGTAGAACAAGAGCAGAGCAAGCATGCAGTGACTGTTGCAATTGCAACTGCAGCAGCTGCTGAGGCTGCAGTTGCAGCAGCTCAGGCTGCTGCTGAGGTTGTACGTCTCAGGGGAACCCCTCAATCACATAATCTATGTGAGGGGAGAAGCCAAGAATGGGCTGCTATTAAAATTCAAACTGCATTCCGTGGTTACCTTGTAAGCTTATTGAACTCATGTTAGAGTAATTCATAAACTGACATATTCTATGTACTATGTATAGATACAAAAGTAATGCCTAATCTTATGTTGGTCTTTCCAACTCTGCCTACTGCATTCTATCTATGAATTCATTTTGGCAAGTATTACAGGCAAGGAAAGCATTGCGTGCATTGAAGGCACTTGTGAGGCTCCAAGCCATTGTTCGAGGTCGAGCTGTGAGACGCCAAGCAATGACCACTTTAAAGAATTTGCAGTCCCTTGTAAAGATCCAATCACAGGTGTGTGCAAAGAGACTTGGAATGGAGGATAATTTGACAGAAGAGAAGAAAGAGTTGATGGTGCCAAATAAGGAATCAGAAGACATTGAAACAAGGGTATGTGGGGGTGGGATATTACTGTTTCATGCATTTCAGTGAGATGAGTTCCAGTTATATTGAACCTTGTCTATTGGGCATTGAAAGATGAGATGTCTATGTTAAAAATTTGATTATGCCTCTGTATTTTTGGTTGCTTAAAATTGTAGTTGGAGCAGCTCAAACTGGAAAGTCAGAGAAGATGGGATGACAGCTTGCTTTCTAAGGAAGAAACTAATGCTGTGTTGCTAAGCAAGCAAGAAGCCATGATCAAGAGAGAACGTATAAAAAGATACTCATACAGCTATCGGGTATGCCTGTGTTGCTTTGTTTCCTTCAAATTATCTAGCCTTATTTAGAATTTTGACATTGAGTGAATATTCCTCAGGAGAGGAGACGAACAGAACTCGAACCAAATAATGTAGATGGTGTGTTCAGTGATTGGTTGGAACAATGGGTGGATGCCCAAGCATGGAAAAGGAAACAACTAGAGAATTTTGACCGAGTCGCCTATTTAGATGCAATCGACAGAGAAATTGAGGGAGGAAAACTGCTTAGATCAAGAGAGCTGCAAAAGTATGAACAATTAGAAGGATTTAACTCCCCAATGTTGCTCCCAAGGAGATCATTTCATCAATCAAAAAGGAGCTGTGTAGAAAATGATCCTTGTTCTGGCTTTCCTTCTCTTCCAAGTTACATGGCTGCAACCGAATCTGCCAAAGCGAAGGTGAGGTCAATTAGCACACCAAAGCAAAGGCTGGGAGCTGCAGATCCTTACTCTGATCATGGTTCACCATCTAAGCATGGATTTTCCTTTTGTTCTTCAAATGGCAGTAGTGCAACTTGTACCAATAGGACTACCAAGCCAAGTTGTCAACAGAGGTCTCCACGCATTAAAGGTATACCAGTTCCAATAAAATCATACCAGCCAGCCAAAGACCTCAGCCTTGATTCTTTATTCTCATTGCCAAATTGGGACCAACACAAAGCATTTCGCTGACTTTCTTCCAAGTAACCATGTCTCATTGATTGTTGGATTGTTTACCAAATCCAATACTATAATCCAGAAGCTTCAAGTTCAATACATTATGGTTTCAGAAATGATATCTTAGAAAGGACCTTATAGATATCCTTAAAACTTGAGTGAAGCAGAATCTCTTATTGGTTCAGTGAAGAGGGACTTGTGAATATCTTATTATTTGTTGGTCCTTGAAAAATTTATGAGGAAATTTAATTTCTGATAGGGTCTTTTCTGTTTCATTTTATTTTATATTTTTCTAGGGGAAGGTTAATTGGCTTGTGTTCATTTAGTGGTGTAAATTGCAGATTGCTGAAAATTCTTTGCAGAAGGTTTGGCGGGTTCTTTGCCTTTGTGTGTACTGTGTAGAAGGCATGGTTGGCCTTAAATGAAACACTATAATATGTTAGTCCTAAAAAAGAATGGTTCATGCAGAAGAACATTATAACACAAAAAAAAATAAAATAAAAAATACAACACCAATTCAAATGATGCCATACAAACAAATTTCTGGTTCCCCGGCCATACTCCATCTTTAAAATACCAATATTCAGAAGAACATTATGACACAAAGAAGTGCTTTAGTTCAAATGAAACCATACAAACAAATTTCAGGTTCCCATACTCCAAACTTAAAATATCAACAATTCAGAAGAACAATATTATGACACCAAGTCTCAATCAAGTAATGCATGGAACTCCATCTCAAATTATAATTATTAACTAATCCAATTTACCCTTCCCAACGTACCCTAGATAGCTAGGACCAACATTGGATAATGGCCTATAACTAATCCTACTTTGCATTTATTTCTGCTTCTATCCATATTTATAAAATTCCAAAGTAAACTAGAGGTATAAAATCTGCAAACTGGACCAGAAAAAAAGCCAAGATCAGAAACAAGATTCCCTTATAGGTCAATTGAATTGTTTTGTCAGAGAGTTTTCATAACTACCACTGGTCGGGATTTGGTACTTGGTACCTTACAAGAAATTCCTACCCTTACCCTTTGGTTATTAAATCATGTCTGGTCAAGCATTCTGGTGCAAAACTCTTTTACCCAAAACATCTATAACCAAATTTTTATGGGTATGTGATCATTTGCTGGAGATTTTGAATTCACCTTGCAAAGACCAACTTAAGCATTTGATTTGCTTTATTTTGTCATGGAGTTCACCATGTAATTTCTAGTAATATGGATCAAGCGTTGTGTCAAATCTGAAGCTCCTAAGGATCACTATTAGGCCTAGCTAGCTTGGATTGTCGGTGAGGTAGTTGATTTATTCAAGCCAACAAGCAAATTGGCTCTCACTTGTCATGTCGACATTGTACTCGAGGCAATATATGGAGGAAAATAGGTTTATAATCAGAATTTGTACGCAAAAAACATTATGATCAGATTGTCAGAGTCCGGACTCCACCTGAAACGTGTGGACTCCATCCAGTTTTGAGGATTCACATCAAGCCTGGGGATTCCACTACAGGGACCCTGACGCATGCATGGTTGCAGGGTGGACTCCACTCTAGAATCTGCTCCAAACTTGCAAATTCCAGACCACAAACTCTGAGTCCCAGTAGGTTTTGTACCAAGTTTGGTGCTTGGTACTAGTCCTTCTTGCACAAGAAGAGAAAGAGAATAAGGGTTGGGCTAGAAGAGAAAAAATCACTCACTTTAGCCGACCCACTTTATATTTATAATGAATAAGTTGAGTTACAAAAGACAGTACTGTTGACTCTAACAGGCTTCGCCTTAAGAGTCCAAATTTGAGTAATTTAGATTGAGGCGTTGGCAAGCCCAACAATTAATATGCTGTGATCAGTTTCTTTTTTCTTTTTTCAATCTTTTATAGTTTCTACCTTTAACATTTTAACTGAACAGGCTTATCCATCTAATTAGTTGTATTTGGGTTGAAGAATTTGAGAGTTGGCTTCTCATAATTCAAGTCTTTTTTGTTACCAGCCAAAATTTGATCCAACTTGATTCCACTACTTGAAACGCCTTAGCTTACTTGATGAATGAGCACCCCAGTTGGATTGTGTTTGTGTAGTTCGTTTTAAGCTTGGATAGTTGGATTGATCCTCAACGCTAGCCAATACCTAAGTTATTTACAGCAGTGCTTAAGATAGTGAAAGAACAAAAGAAAAAGGATACAGCAAAAGTTGGAAGAGGAGGTCACCTCCAGTGAATTGGGATCTGCTTCTCACAAAGAGTGTCTCATACCGACCTTACAACCACATCCCATCTTGTATTGGAAATATCTCCCATGAATAATAAATACAAATACTGGAGACGTTCCCGATGTATGGTCAGGACAGGCTGTGAGGTCAGTGTGACGCGCGCTCTGTGAGGAGCAGATCCGGACTCACCTCCAGTTGGTTAGGGTGCCTTGATCACTTCCCAATCGTTGTGGTACGTTCAGATCAGTTCTCAGAGTCCTTTGATACACTCCGGATCCTTTGGTTATCCACTAGTGGCTTAATTGCTGGATCCCTCGTAGAAACACGCTTTCAAGCATACGTACATACTGCATGTAAATAGCATACACAAGTAAGAATTGAGATCTCCTCCCAACACAAACCGTCCCAACACTCTTTCAATATGATCTGTGTTGGCAAATCTCAACATAAGTAGGACCGTCATGTAGACTGGTAAAAAGTTGATCCAACCCAACTCGAAAAAACAGGGTTAGGGTCTCATATTTAGCTACCCGAACGTGAAAACGATCCAACCCAACCCGACCTAAAAAAACTGGGTTGGGTYATGGGTCAGCCCGCAGACCCGATTGTCAAGTCTAATTAGGATTATTTATGCATTGTTAGAAGTTTCCATTTTTTACATTTTACTGTTTACTCTTTAAATTGTTAAGTGTTTAAGTTTTTTATTTTATATTTGAAAATTTAAGGTTAATTCTTTTAATTTTGACATTAAATGTAATTTTTCTTTATTTTTTTTAATTTTAATTATGTTTTGGGATGACTCGAATTGACCCATGGGTCAACCCTAACCCGAACATTTAGGGTTAGGGTCTAGCATTTGGCAACTCAACCCAACCCGAATCCGACCCACCCAACCCAATTGCCAGGTCTACCGTCATGTATGAGATGTGTAGACACAGATCATATGTTGGAATGATTTTTTGTAAGGTGAAATCCTATTGCGGATCCAAGAATGGTTCCTAGGAATGCAAGTCGAGTATCCGATTTGAACAAGTCTCACAGCATCGGATCAGGTCCATTCAAATTTTATCAAATACCAAGTCCAAGCCCACTCAAATTCCACCCTTAAATGACCTAGTTAATAAAGTAACCAACAGATCCTAACCCCCTTGAATCGAATCAAGAAATATGCGAATTTAAATCTAATTAGAAAGTTTGATATTCAGAATTTGATTTCATATCCGCTGGATATTGAAAATCAATGTTCAACTCAAATTCAATTAAATATTCAAATATTTGGTTCGATTCGAATTCGGTTGATTAATTATTTTAGGAAATTAATAAATATATAAAATAAATCTTTTATTTATATAGTTTAAATATTATATATAAATTTATAAAATATTTGATTATTTTATATATTATATAAGAATTAAATAATCAGTCGATTTTGATATTTATCTAATCGAATTATGTCATATCCAAATTTGGCCAATTATGATATTCAAATTATATGAATTTAATTTGATTATGTTGAATCTTAAATTCAAAACTAGATTTTTGAATCTTGTTGACACCTCTAGCCTCTATGAGGCTCTTGAGAAAGTGGGTTCTCTGTGGAAGTTTTAGGCGAAAGTGGATTCTCAAATGCAAGTGATTTTTCATTATTAATAACTAGTGGCACAACTTAAGTGGCATTTGGTAAATCTGAAGTCTGAAGTCTAAAAATAAAAAAATCTTTGAAAAAAACTCTTAAAGTATTTAGAGAAAAATTTACTTTTATGCTTTTACAAACATTTGAATACAGTGGGGTTGTTCAGTAATCTGACACCTGAGAAATTTATATATCTACCTCTTAAAGTCATTATTTAAATGAAAGTAAATGAAAAGGAATAAAGTAATAGGATATTATAAAATATTACAAAAATAATACAAAATACAAAATATGRTAAAAATCAATAAAAATAAAAAATAATATAAAAATGACAAAATAGTAAAAATTATTATAAATATAACCAAATRTAGAAAAATGAAACAATAAAGGTTATGAGGGGTAATTTGGCCAACTAATCACGATGAGGCGCATGGTGAATCTGAACCGCCTAAAGACACCTCAACGCCATGTGGGGGTAAGTTGGATCGAGTCAAGTCAGCCTAAACCGGCTAACTTGACCTACATTTCGACCTAGGGAAGACCAATAGGTCACCCCTCAGCTAAGTGGAGCATATCACTTTGGGAGAACAAGCTGAGGATTTCGGGTGTTGGCTTAACCTCCCTGACCTGGGCAGCCAATGACTAGAATAGCCAACTAACCTCCGGGGTACCGACCTACGTGGTGGGTTGTCTTTATCTGATTAGCACACCTATTAGTTCTGAAATCGATGGCGATACGTCACCCACCTGGCAAGGATGACCTCGATCCCCAAAAGATTCAAAGAGATTGGACGAGGATTATCGCCAAGACCGGTGCAATGTGCTTTGAGGATAACGGGTTGATAAGGCCTATTGCTCCTAGATATCCCAAGTATGTCTCTTGGACCCTAAGGCCTATAAATAGGCACCTTCATGCCTTCACAAGGTATGTGCAATTAAGTGTAATCAAGCTCTTGCTCTCACTCTCCTTTTGTGCTTTTTGCTTTCTAAACAACTCTTGTTAGCGAAAAAATATTAATGTAAAAAGAAATAATATAGTAAAAAGTATTATAATTATAATAGTAATGTAAAAAAGACAATAATGATGTAATAAAAAACTAATAAATATAAAGAAATCATGTAATAGTATTAAAAATAACATAAAATGAAAATAAAATATACTAAATAGACATAAATATTAAAAACTATCAAAAAGGTAAAACAATAAAAATAAATATAAATATAATAAAGGCGTAAAAAATAAGAGATTTATAAAATAATAGTAATAACCTACCTCTACTTCTTTTTTCAAGCTTAAACACTAATGAAATTCGCCGATCGTAGATTTGTAATTCAGGTCATGTTGGACTTGGATTTTTAGGCCTGCGGGCAGGCATGACACGTCATGACAAATTAGATCACGCTAGCACGGGCACATGGCGTGGCATGGACCATATATATATATATATATGTATATGTGTATGTAATAATAATTATATATAAAAATATATAATATACATAATAATATTTTTAATTTCATTTTATTATTTCATT